AATAAACGATGGCTAAAAAATATAGCCACATAAAAATAATAAACAGTAGTATTGATAATATATAATATAATACTGGGAATAAAAGAAATACAAATGTTAATGATACATAAATGATACTGATAAGAAATAGAATAAAGTAATAATATGAAATAAAAGAAAATAAAAGAATATAATTAACATTTAAAATGTGATAAGAGTAGAACTATTTAGATAAAGGTATGTTGGATATTAATGCCACCTGGACTAAGAACGCCTAAGCTGTAGATGAGGCGACTTTCCAATGGCAGGCGCGTAGTATGATCGCCAGAGCAAGATTTTAATGCTGTGACAGAAATATCATCTTTACCTCTGTGTTTAGAGCTATTAAAATTAAAATTATGGACACAGATGTTGTCGAAGGTATTTTCCGTTCACCTTGCTCTACCCTTTTCCCAACTAAGTTTCTCAGCGAGATTTACATGAAGAAAAATTTACGAAGTTAAAAAATTAACACCACTCGCAATGAGGAAACAGCAACATTAAAGAACAAACGAGCAACTAGTTACAATATGATTTTCATGTTTCTAAAGATAATTCAACAATCTGAGTGCACATTGTGTACTTTGGTTAGGCTGAGATGTGACGAAATCGTGAACTTTGAAGTTTGACGTTCACGTTAGTGATGTCTTGTTCTTTTGAAAAACTATTCCAGATAAAAAACGGGTACTTAATTTATAACTTACCCCTGACGTCACGACAACGTCACGGGAGACATTCCCAATAAATTCTAGGGTGTTCAGGTTGAAGTTTCTCGCGATTTCTCTACAGTAAAGTTTAGGGTAAGGGTTAGGGTTAGGGTTAGGAACTTAGGGTTAGGGTTAGAATTAGAAGACACTATATGAACACTCAAAAAAAAAAAAAAAAGCACCACACAACAGCACACTTGCACCCCTTGAAATAATGGACTGTCAGGTCAGCTGTGGATTTCCCACGGGGATTTCCTGTTTTGGGTACGTTATAAATAAAGAACCAAAAAACGCTAGTTCTACGCAGGGGCGTAGAGAACGGTCTGGGCGCCCGCCCCCCCCCATCCCCTCCCCGCATTTTTAAAAAGGTGGTGGAGGCCTCGTTAAATGATTTAAAGGTTAACGGTCAAAGTTGAGAGGATCAACCTCATTGCAAGAGGTTGTTTTTTTTATCCCGGCTAGCTGCCTGCCAAGTGCGCTGTACAGAGCACGAACTCGGTAGCTCCGGCGACGATCCCCAAAAATCTCTGTAAAATTTGCACTCGTGAATTGAACGGCGCTGTCATGAAACGAACCCACGACCTTTATAGCGCGAGGCAAACAGCTTGACCAGTTCGCCACAGAGACCCTCTCTCAGATAGTTTGAGAAGAGGTTGACAGGTCCCTCCCCCCTCCCACCCTCCCCCTCCCAAATCAAGTATAGCAGTTCTCTTCGAAGTACTGTTTACAAAATTCACATAGTTTCAGATCTATTATTATATTTATCTGCCATTCAACACAAACTATTTGAGAAAATAATGGTGCTTTCGTAACATCATACTCCAAATACAGAGGTACTGAGGAAATTGGGAATGAAAAGAGAGTTGCAAGGTGAAATAAAAAAGAGACAAGTGAAATATTTTGGCCACATTAAAAGACATAACAGTATTGTAGAGATCATCCTAGAGGGAAAGGTTCAAGGTAGGCAAGCAAGAGGCAGACAGCGTTACAAGTGGGAGGATAACATCAAGAGATGGACGAAAAGCAGTATGAGTGAGTGTACATCAAGGGCAAGAGACAGGGTTTGTTGGAGATCCATTGCAGCCAACCTTCATTGTGAAGACGGCACCTGATTGATTGATTGATTGATTGACTCCAAAAAGGGAAAATCCACAAGTCATGGGACAGTCTAATATTTCAGGGGGTGGTAGATAGGTTGCATGCAGTCATGAGAACTACGCTGCATGCAGTCATTGGACCTAGGCTGCACTCTCTCGTGGGACGTAGGTGGGTTGTGGTTGGCACCAGTTCTAGATGTTTTGGGGTCGGTAAAAGCATCAGAAAGCCAGGAAACCCAGTCTTACCTCCCTCTAAAATGTTGTACTGTGCTGTGACGTCATCTGGGGGGTAGGATATGATTAAAGAACAAAAATAATTAATAAAGAGAGTTATAATTATTGGTTTTATACAATAAGCAAATGTCAAAAATGACCAGACTTGTGACAGTTATGATCCACTCAAAATTGGTGGCAACCCTATTTCGGAACTCTGCTACACGGATGACACAGTCCTCCTTTCGAACAGCGTAAAAAGAATAGAAAATTTAATATTGTCTGTCCAAAAGGACAGTGAAGATCAAAATCTGTTCTTGAATTTAATGAAAACGAAAATAATGTCCACAGATAAAACTGGCTGTCACCCAAAAATAACAAAAAATGATGAAGAAATTGAAAATGTCACAAACTTTGAATATCTAGGCTCTATAATAAACAACAATGGAGAATGTTCAACAGAAATTAAAAGGAGGATGGGCATAGCAATGCAAAGATTGAACAGCCTTAAAAGTCTATGGTTAAGTACCAGCAAGGAGATACAAATTAGAATTTTGAGAGCATGCATCTTCCCTGTGACTACACACGGATATGAGTCGTGGACTGTCTCTCAGTCCTTAAGAAAGAGAATAGGGGCTTTTGAGCTGAAATGCTATAGAAAGAATCTCAGAATATCTTGGACAAAGAAGAGGAGAAATATTGACATCTTAAAAGATCTTAACATCAAGGAAGATTGGCTAATAAACACCATCCTTTCTCGAATGCTGAAATATTTTGGTCATATCAAGCGCCACAACGGATTGGAAAAAATTATAGCAGAAGGCATGGTAACAGGAAGGAGGGGCAGGGGCCGATCGACACAAAGATGGGCACAGGATATAAGTGACTCCTTGAGTATGAAAGTTCATGAGGCGGGAGAACTGGCAGGAGACCGAGTTTCTTTCAGGCAGACTGTGATGAGAGCGACGTTCTGCAAAGGACCTGCTACATGATGATGATACAAGTAAGCAAGATTTAGACCACTTGAACCAGCGTCTCACTCCCTTCCCCCCTAAATCACAATAAGAATTTGCTACGGACAATGAGCCCCTGCATTCTCCCGTCTACGAAAGTTTTCTTTCGTTAGCACCCCGGATTTTGTGCCGCCAAAGAAAACTAAGATCATGACAAACAGTCCAAACCAACAACCAGTGACCATAAGGTAAACAATCACTTGAAAATGTAGAACATTTCACATATCTTGGCAGTGTGTGTACTCTACAAGAGCCTCATTTTGCCAGTTCTTCTCTATGAAGCGGAATGCTGGAGAATGACCAAAAAGGATGCACACAAGCCGTCCACCTTCCACCACACATGTCTACGTAGAATTATCAAAATTTTCTGGCCAGATACAATCTCAAACACTAAACTACTTCAAACCACAAACCAAGAAACTTTAGACAGTATGATTACCAAGAGAAGATGGAAATGGCTTGGCCACGTTATGAGAATGACTTCTGATATACCTGCCAAAATAGCCCTCACATGGACACCAGAGGGAAAGAGAAAACAGGAGCGCCCAAAAAACAACATGGAGACGAACGATGGAAAGTGACCTGAGTGCGGCATCTTTGACATGGAAAACTGCATTGAAGATTGCACAGGACAGGAAAGCATGGAAAGTCCTCTCTGAAGCCTCATGTGCCACTAGGCATAACGAGAACTGATGATGAAGATGATGAAAGAAAAGTAGCACGTTACATTATGACTGTTTTACAGCTAGCTGTTTATGGCACCGTTTCGACTTTTCACCAGGTATTTATTAATTGCACAGTCAACATTTTGGGAACTTCTTCTCATTTATTTTTGTTTCATTTAAAAACCATTTCACCCTAGTTGATATTTTTACTCCCGTTGTTCTATCAGCATCATCACCCCTATGATGATCATTGTTATCATCATCATGTACCAAGGCTTCTTCTAGAATTGTGCTCTCTTCGTGTGTGCTTGAAAGCCGCTCTGTTCCTTGTTTCAGAGCCAAGTAAGACAGAAGGAACTAGTCATGTGTTGCCAACTAAAAAATACATATGACACTTAGTTTTTCAGATTATAAACAGTATTTTCATTTCAACATTAAGCTGCCACTGCCAAACACTTACACTTTCCAAAGCAGAATCACCACTTGTAAGATAGGATGCATGAGAATAGCCGCCAACCTAACCTCCAAGATCGAGTAGTTAATGATACTTTTAGATAAATTGTTGAAACGACACCTTGTACTAGATTCATCAAGAAACACCAGATCGAGTGGTTTAGCCATCTCGTTAGAACGCAGCAATATCAAATACCATCACAGGTACTACATTTCAGAAGATCAGCTACAAGAACAGGAGGATGGCCACCAAAAAAATGGATCGATAACATTAAAGAACATCTACGCCTTAACGGCATAACAATGTTCAGTGGCAAACAAGTGCGCACTGGATTGCAGATTATTCCTCCCCACGCCGCTTAATGACAAGTGGTTTATGATGACGACTTGGTTATGGTCCCGAAATCCCATACATTTATTGTCGAAGACTATCCTACCTCAAGCTGGTCTTGCTAACCAGATTCGCTATCGCCATAGAAATGATTCTATGTCTCTCTTCAACACAGTAAAACGGAACAGTGTCTCAACAACACATACAACCCCAGCTATATAAATGGCGCCATTTCGGCGTTTTACCATGCATAAGCAATCCCGTTATTTTTCAGCTCTTTCTTTCCATTTTGTTTCTTTTTGCAGACACCTCATCGTTGTATGGAATGTGGATTATTCATATGAGCTAATACAACGCTAGGAGAAATAGCAGACAGCAGAAATTTAGCCACTAACTTGATTGCATATACGGGCCAGGGAGAAACATGGATTCGTGTATCTTCGTTGTGTGAAGCGCTCAGTTGTGTAATGTGAGCTTGGGCTAACAGTCAACAACTTGCTGCAATGGAGGTAAGGTTAGGTTAGTTCGTATCGATTTAGCCGACTAAGGAGGTAAGGACAGCCGATAATAATAGCTGCTTTTTATAGAATTTAGAATTATGCAGATCGCTTAAGATGATCTCAGATGTAGGGGATTTCTGTTGTGAAGAACAATTTGTTTATTCCCTGCAATTGTTCTTGCTTGAATTCTTATCTGGATAAGAGGAATTTCTGGGTCCCCGCTGAGTTCTCCTTTTCAGATCCGCACTGTCACAACTATGATGCAGAAGTTCAAGCCATCAAAAAAGCAGCAGAGAAACTGTTAAATATATGACATATTTCAAACACCGTGGTATTCCTAACTGCTGCACGAGCAGTACTTAAAGCACTCCAGTCTGGGAAATTGCATGGTATTCGAACACTACTCTCCAAACTAGGCAACTGGGTAAGGTAGCTATGTAGAGGAAACTATCCCTCTGTGGCGTTCCCGAAATGAAAAAAAGCAGATAAACTAGTTAGATGCAAATAAAGAGCAGTAATCTGATAATCTGGTAGTCTGGTAGTCTGGTAGTCTTAGTTTCAGCTTCATAGCAAACAGGTCACCCCATAGTTGCTCCGCTCCTGTGCCAACGAAAAACACACAGAATGTTTATCACAGTCCCTTGTGGAAGATTGACAGACTGCTGTCTCAGCATATCTAGCATACACACGCATTAAAGCATACGGTAGCCATCCGAAGTGCTTACACAAACAGTCCAACATTAGAAATGCAGTTCACCTTTGATGGTAGCAGAGGTCACCAAAAGATCAGCAGTTGCACACGCGATCAATTTTAATCAAATAATGGCACCACTAATATTGCGACAACCGGCATCGCGCCATTTTCTGAATCTACAATTCACACCACCACGTTGGTCACAGTCAAAAAACATTCCATATGAAATCCGCAGCTTACAGTGTCAAATAAAGAAAAACCTGACGTAGGTCTTTTATCAACAGAAGAAGAGAATAATCGAACCAACCAGAAAGCCACCAAAACCGACACAAAACTGTTACCACATTATGGGCAGACCAGAGCAAGTTATTATTCTACACCTTAGAACAGGACACAGTGGACTTGGCAGCCTCGTATACAGATTGGCACATATACAGATTGTTGAACTAGCTTCTAAGACAACGGATCACGTCCTTCAAGACTGTCCCAAATACAACTCACCAGAACAAAACTTTGGCTTCTACTACTACTACTTACTTCTACTACTACTACTTATTATTACCACTACTTCTACTACTGCTGCTGTTGCTAATTCTACTACTACTGCTGATGCCGCTACTGCTGCTACTACTACTACTACTGCTGTTGCTACTACTGCTACTACTACTTTACTACTACTTTACTACTACTTCTACTGCTGCTACTACTTCACTACTACTACTACTACTGCTACTGCTACGACCACTTTACTACTACTACTGCTGCTGCTGCTACTTCTGCTGCTACCACAACATTACTACTACTACTGCTGCAACTACTAATTTTATTACTGCTATTGATTTCCATTGTTGCTATTGGGGCCCTACTGTGTCGAAGACATAAACAGACCCACTGACCCTTGAAACGCATATCGTTTCGTTCAGCTAAACTGGGGTGTTTCATCTGAAGTGTGACTGCACCTGGCTGAGAGGCCAGCAACTAGCAGTCAGCATTGAGATAAGACATATCCCCGTGTGGGTTCCGGGGCCCTATTATAGGGAAAACAAGAATAGACCCACTGCCTACCCAAAAGCGTGTCGCAAGAGTCGACTAATTAGGAGTGCATCTGCCTGAGAGGCAAGGAATCAACAGTCTGCATACAAATTAGTCAGATCTGTCAAACGGATGCACACGAAACAATCAGGTTCTTGAATTAGCAGGACTGCAGTCCAGAAGTGGACGAAAAACCAGAACTTTCCGCCGGAGTTTACAGCCGGTGAACGCAAAGAATAAGAAGAGGAGATAAGACAGATCTGTCAAATAGAAGTTCACCCAAAACTACAGTTCTGGAACAAGGCCAACAGTCCAGAAGTGGACGAACAACCAGAACTTTCAAAGACTCAAGTCTAGGATTGGATTAATAACTAGAACGTTTCTAAGGAGTCCAGTGATATGTCTGTATAATCTATTTTTCTGACAATCCAGTCAATCTGACCGGCTGGCTATCTTTCTGTATGTTTATCTTTCTACTCACCAGTTGTCTTTTTGTCTGTTTGTATATCTACGTAGCAGTTTATCCAAACCATGAAGTCATCCATTCCTGCACATTCCCAACAACGTCCATCTGCTATTCATCCACATCCAGTTATCTCTCCATCCATCTGTGCTCGGAGGTAATGTTCTACTCAACCATTTTTACAACTGCTGCAAGCTTTAAATGCAGATTTTAATTACTGTTATCTTGTAGAGGGTAAAAAAACGAATCCCGAAAATATTTTATGTCGGGTATTTTATGAAGTGACATCTAAAGCCAGTTGCTTCCAAAAGTATTTTTTTACTTCTTCTGGAAAACAAACATAAAATGTTAACGTCACACGAGAAAAGAGTTTTGAGCATCTTCTTGTGTCTTTTTAATCTGTTCCACTGTTTTTCAGTTTCTCCACTCCCCTCTCGCTTCTTGTCTTTTTTTTATAATGATTTTCTTTTTAATTACGTGTCTCCCTGTCTCCGTAGCTTATTCTCTCCTCGTCAGTCATACATTATATATGTATATATATATATATATATATATATATATATATATATATATATATATATATATATATATATATATATATATATATTCATTCATTCAGTAGCATGTCCCTCGCGGAACCTCGCTGCCATAACAACCCTCCGGAAAACCTTCCTATCCTGAGCAAGATGTCCTGCGTCTGATACACCCATCTGGAGATCATCTGCCACATCCTGCACCCATCTTCTCCTTGGCCTTCCTCTTCCTCTCTTCCCAGGCATATACCCCTCCATTATTGTTCTCTCTAGACTTCCATGACGTTTCAAGTGACCAAAATATTTCAATTTTCTTTGTTTTATTGTCTTTACTAGCCAACCCTCTTCAATATTCAGCTCTTGAAGTATGGATGCATTTGTTCTTTTCTTTACCCAAGATATTCTTAGAACCTGTCTGTAACATTTATATTCAAATGCATTTATGCGCTGTTTATATATATATATATATATATATATATATATATATATATATATATATATATATATATATATATATATATATATATATATTTATATATATGTGTGTGTGTGTGTGTGTATATATATATATGTGTGTGTGTATGTGTGTGTGTGTGTGTATGTGTGTGTGTGTATATATATATATATGTGTGTGTGTGTGTGTGTATATATATATATGTGTGTGTGTATGTGTGTGTATGTGTGTATGTGTGTGTGTGTGTGTGTGTGTGTATATAAAATGATCTTTCTCCCCATTCTATCCTGAATAACCATTTTTTCCCAGCGTTATCTGTCTTGTATTTTATTTTTTGCAAAATGGCAATCGAGTCAACCCCTCCATGGGATGCAAACTGTTGGTTATTTAAAGCCCCACCCAGGCTTTTACTAGGATCGGCGAGAAGAGGGTCCTGGTCGATGCTCAACGCTCACAGCAAAGGAAGGATAGAAATATAATAAAACTTACTAGCACCAACGGAATCTGAACTCTTTTCTGGCTGCTGGAGATAAGGACAAAGCGCTTATGTTAGAGTTATGTGATAAGTAACAAGCTGAACAATATCTTGAGGCCTTGTGGATGTGCTATAACAAAAGAATCTTTAGAATTCAATGGACAGCTAAGAAGAGTAACCAAGATGTTTTGAAAGAGGCAGATGTTCAAAGACAACCTATCACAAACATCAGAAAGAGACAGCCATCCTTGTTTGATCATGTTATGAGTAGAGGGAAACTTGAACATGTACCCTGGAAAGATCTGCTGAAAGAGAGACAGGGGGAAGACAGCTGGAGAAGATTCTTGATAGTCTTTTGTCATGACACAGAGAGGTGTCAACACTCGAACTGATACACGCAGTTGCGGATCGCAGATTGTGGAGAGGCTTGATCGCCCTCGCCCGTCGGAAAGGAAGTTGGTGATGATGATGATGGGATGTCATTTCTTAGCTCAACATTGAACACTCAACAGTCAACACTCAACAGTCAAAACACTGAACACGGGTTAATTGCGTATCCTTTACAGGACCTTGCAGAACCAACCCTAGCATCCCCTAGCTGTTGTGTGGTTTCTCTAGGCAAATTTTACCTCCAGTAGTTTGCCATTGCTTACTGGACGGTCGGCCCTCTGATACCACTGTCGAAACCAACACAAGGCGTATGGCCCGCAGCTGGGATCGAACCCGGTACCCCGGCATTACAAAGCGTTCGCATCGACTTAGCCACAGAGCCGACACAACACTGTACAGTCAACGATAATAAAGCAATGACACAAACTGAACCAGAGAAATGAATGTCAGGCCACGAGTAGACATCTGAGAATTGAGATTGCTCTGTGCACCAGAAAAACATTCTTCGCACGCAGGTAGAAAACGCCATTTCATGCACACATATTTGTATACAATGTCTAGCACCAGGTGATACGCAAAGGGTATTGGGGGGCTGGCAGGTAGGGCTGGAGGGGTGGATGGGGGGACGGGGGCTGGCAGGTAGGTTGGAGGGGTCAATGGGGGGGGGGGGCGGGGGCTGGCAGGTAGGGCTAGAGGGATGGATGGGGGCTGGCAGTTAGGGTTGAAAGGAGGGATGGGGGGCTAGCAGGTAGTGCTGGGTGGATGGATGGATGTGGCGGGGGGGGGGGGGGTGGCAGGTAGGGCTGGGGGATGGATGGGAGGCTGGCAGGTAGGGCTGGGGGGATGGATGGGAGGCTGGCAGGTAGGGCTGGTAGGATATAGATGGGAGGCACGCAGGTAGGGCTGGAGGGGTGGATGGGGGAGGGCGAGGGCTGGCAGGTAAGTTGAAGGGGTGGATGAGGGGCGGG